CTCTCTCTCACTCACTCACTCACTCACTCACTTTTTCCAAAATAATATATTTATAAACCTAACATTTATTTTATTAAGCACACATAGCTTAATTATACAGTATATAAATATTAAAGTAAGTATAAGTTAAATTATTTAATATAGCAACTTCAAAATAAGTACATTTTTAATTATACATGATGAGTTACATCAAAGATTTAAATTTCAAATAAAGTGAAAGTTGTTTGACCCGGTTTAATTTAAATTTTTAAAAAAAATTAAATTGGAATGTAAATATGATATAGACGCACAATTTTGTTTAAATCAACTTTTTTTGGTTATACTACGCAAATAATTACCATGATTTATGTGAGAAAGTGAAGTATTTATTATTTATATTCAATAGGTTTGGATTTTTACAAAAACAAGTCACTTATAATAAGTGTTTCCAAGATCAAGGTCAGTTTGGCAAATATTACATAATTGATTCATTAAGTAAAATGGTAATTAACAACATTTCCATCAATAATTATTTGATTATTATATTTAAAAAATTATAATCACAATACAGGAACGTCAACCAGGTTATTTTGCATATTAGGCAATCACACTAACTATTAATTATATATAGATAGTTTTACAGTTGATTAATATAAATAAGTCAATACATAAATTACCCCAATCACATTAAAAACTGGTTGAGGAGCGCTGAAATTTAAATAACCATATCAAAAATCATCCCCGATCAATTTCAATATGTCAAGCATGGGCGGTATGAATGATCGCGGTTTTTTCACCCCGTCAAAATCGAGCTGCGGTATCTCGCGTGTTACCTTGTCACAACGATCGCTGGCTGTCAAAATATAACACAGGTAAATAAACTACAATTAACAACAATTAAATAAATAAGCTGTTATTCTGGGTTGGGCTAGGTATTGAACAACATACAATCTTGGTACTCGTAGCACATGATGTTTAATATCTCGCCAAACATCTCGAGGGCGTATCGCTCGACAAAGTCAATGGTACGACGGGTGCATATTTTCACCTCCTCGGCCTCGGCCTTAAAGCATTCGCGTAGTTTATTGAACTCGCTACATTTAATAATCAATTGTATCATACTTGTATAAAAAAATATTTTAACAATTAATTTAATTAATTAAAATTGTCATTGCAAATATTATACCAATACTTATTGCACATATTGCACAAATTAAAAATTTTTAAAATTAAAACTTAAAATTTTTTAGAATACTAAAATAATTTAATTAAAGTAGATTAATAATTGCTAAAACTTACCAACAAAGCATCGGTATCATACGTCTGGTATTAGTAACATTAGCAATGGACAATTCGCGCTCGATAAATTTATTATAACATTTACGTAGACCGGGCCGGGCGGCGTTACCACATTTAGCCGCCTTCATTATCTCTTTAGCTTTAGGTGAAACTCGGCCACCGGTGCGACATATCTGACCAATCTCATTTGTCACAGGGTGAAAAACCACCTGGATGGCTTTCTGGGCGAACTCGGTCAAACAGTGTTTG